CTATGAGACCACAAGGTCTTGGAGGTGAGCAGAGTAGTGGAAGAATTAAGTGGGAGGCAGGGAGTAATGAAGATAATGGAGAATCTGTTCAGTGTGTGCCTGTATATAGCCTTAAAAGCATTCTCTTGAGATCTTGCTTTAGTCTGTTGTCAGTAAACTAATTCAGAGTTTTGTGGAGGGTATAATAACAAAGATGGTTGCGGTATGGGAAAAAAGGAGGTGGTTAGAGAGGCATTCACTTCTGGGGTTGGTGCGGTGGCAAATTCAGTAGTAATTCATATAAATGGAGTAAAGCAATGAGGGCAAGCACAGGGAATGATTCTGGGGTTATTTTTGAGATGGTGTTAACAGGAATCAGTGGCCAGTGTGATGGTTACATGTAGGTTATATTTTGGGTTGATCCTCTGACCTTCACTTCAGCCTAAAATCCAGCTAACTCATCTCCATTCTTGATTTACTGTGTAGTAGTGACTGCCAGATGAGAAACAAAATAAGGGAAAATTCAGTCTGGAAGGGAGAGGACTTACATTTTACAGTTGTGCACTTTGAGGAGCTTCCAGATTGGAGCAGGCAGTATGTTGTGATGCTATGTTAATCTTTGAGTTTAGTGACGATTCTATCTCCAAGTCCATACCTCAAATATAATCAAAATTGTCAGCTTTACTTAATCCCTTCAAATTTTTTAAATGCTTAGTAATCATATTACTAAGGATCATACTATGAATGCTGTTCTGGAAGTCAAAATTTCATCCTTTCAATAAGTCACTTAAAAAATACAGGTAATTCCACAATTGGTTTATTTATTTATATTATTTTCAATTTGACCACACCACATGGTATATGGGATTGTAGTTCCTGGTCCAGGGATCAAACCCGCAGCGCTGTATTGGAAGCATAGTCTTCACCACTGGACCACAAAGGAAGTCCCTATAATTGGCTTTTTAAAGGCTGTAGACTGTTCTGTTTAAAAGATCTATGTTTAATTTACCAAACTCTTCACCTGCTGATTGTACACTGTTATTCCTAGTTTAAAAAAAAATTACCAAACAAAAATTTCTAGCATTGGAAATTCTGCATCAATTAGAATGAAAATTTTAAATTGTATAGATAATTTCTAAATTGCCCTCTTGAAAGGATGCAATACTACATATCACCATGTAATTATTCGGAATTGCCCTTTGTTTTCTAAGGAAATATTTGCATTCCTTTTAAGCCTCGCCCCTCGGTTCGCAATTGGAAACAGCCTATTCCCAGCCCCCGGCATAAGTGTTTACAGTGCTGGACTCTTCAGCATCGGCGGCTCCGCCCCTCAGACAGGTCCCAGAACAACCTTACTCCTTCTCCATCCCTGCTCCACCTCCTTTACAGATTTCACCCTGTCTTTGACAGCCGCCTTTATAATGGGTCTTCACTCCTACAAACTTCGTTGATCGTCCTAAGGCGGCTACTAACGCTAGCTCCTCGAGTCTCTCCGCCGTACGGAACTGCACTTCCTGCAAGATGGCCGCCCCCATGGTGTTTCTCCGGGGTGTTGGCAGGCGCCGCCATCTCTCCGTAAGCCCCAAAAGGCAAAATAGAATCCAGCCCACGCCGCCACTGTTGGATAGGGTCCAGCCTCTCAAAACTTGTTCGGCATGGTGCGTTTGACCAACAACGAGAAGGGAAAGGGAAGGGAGTGTCCCAAAGTGATTTCAATTCCCGCTCTGAGCCCTAAACTCTGCGTTGACCGTTTGCTCTCGCTTCGCTGGGGTGGGCGTGGTCCCGTTACGTCATAGAGCTGGACGGGAGGCCAGAACTCCAAGACCTCAAAAGGTCGCGCCGGATCAGAAGCGTCCTTAGCGACCGCCAGAAAGGGGACTTGCGCACGACAAAGTCTTAATGGGAATGATTTTGGAAGTGAATTCGGCCTTTGGTAGCTGCCCGGAGCCTTGAGAATCTCAGTATCAGGTGGGTAGTGTTCGGGACGTCGATCCGGATGAGGGGCCTGCGAGGCCAATGGAAGGCCTTCAGGCGGTTTTTTTGGGTTCAGTCACTGGGGAGGCTTGGCTTTCGTCATACGCCCTTTGGCAGTCAGTGCTATTAAATCTCTGAAGAGAGAGGCGACCGAGGCGCTGGACGGAGGGTTTGTGTCTTTGTGTTTTGAAACGGCCTTCCTAAAATTGAGTTCCCTTGCTGACTTTATAATTGACCTCTCCAGCCAAAACTTTTCTTTTTCGTGTCCCACCCTGTTCCCTTCAAGATTGAGGACTATCAAAGGAAAGGGGGATTGAAAGTGAGCTGGATCCTGAAGGGCCCTCTTGGGTACAAAAGACCCTCCCTGTCACCCCTTTTTCTTGTTTGTAGAAAAAGGCTTTGATCTCCTGGACTTTCAGGAATATCCAAAGAGCAGACTAATTAGGGAAGTGGGAAGTGAGGGAATGCAGAAACTAAGGAAAATCAGGCAAGAAACAATAGTTCATCGAATCTTAGTTCCTCCTTAAGGGTTCTGCATAGGATCTGATGCATACCTTTGAGTTGTTCTGCAGAAACTCAGACATCAGCCAGGGCGGAAGATGTGATTATTTGCTGAGCACAAGCTTGTAGACCCCAGACTGATTAGAACTAGAAAGTTGATGATGAAGTTTCCTGAAGCTATTACCTCACCACCAACCAGTCAGTAGGAAGTCATGAACCTTGCATCCCTCATCACAAATAATTGCTTTAAAAAACCCTTCCCTGAAAGGCATCGGGGAGTTGAGGTCTTCTGAGCTTAAGCTGTCAGTTCTCCTGGCTGGGCCCTGCAGAAAACGCTGGGCTTTGCTTCACAACGAAGTGGTGTCAGTAAATTGGCTTTGCTGCTCGGCAGGTGAGCTGACCCAAGTTTAACTTGATAACAATTTCTACTTAGGAGGCTCAGTCATTAAGAACTGGAGTGGTAGGTGAATATCAATAAATTTGGTGTTTTGTGTAGGTGTCTTGTCACTATGGGGCTCAGACATGGAGAAACCTGGAGTGGGGGAAGGGTGCCAGTGAACGGGGTTTTATGGTCCAGATTTAACTTGGAGTCAGGTTTTTTGTTTGTTCTGGTTTATTTTGTTGGGGTGACTAGTGTATGTGAGGAGGCATAAGACTGGAGCTTTGGAGAGTAGGTAGGCTTGAGGTTCAGATATGGACTCCTGGGCACAGATTTGATGATAGATTCATTCAATTGATCCAAATCCAGTTCACTCCTTTATGCTCATACATTCCTCAAAACCCTAGTTGAAAACTATTGTTATGACATATAAACACTCTTGTCATTATCATCTTTCAAAAATAGTTAGATATAATCTAGTGATGTGTTACAAAAGGTGTGTTTTATTTCTCTTGCCTCCAGGTCTACACCACAGTTTTCTTGTGTATTCCCTTTCAAGTTCATTCTACACAAGTAAAAACATCTCTTTACCCTAAACGCTGATCTCCAATGGAAACCATGGTGTATGTATGTGTTTAATATTTTTGTGTTACCTTTGGATGGAAAAGGCACCTTTACCGTACCTTTGGAATGACCTGTATAAGAGATGTGGCTTCCCAGGTGGCTCAGTGGTAAAGAATCTGCTACCAGCATAGGAGATGCAAGAGGTGTGGGTTTGATCCTTGGGTGGGGAAGATCCCTTGGAGGAGGAAATGGCAACCCACTGCCAGTATTCTTGCCTGGAAAGTCCTGTCCCAGGGACAGAAGACCTGGGTGGGCTACAATCCATGGGGTCGCAAGAGTCGGACATGACCGAGCAGCTCAGTACATGCGTATGCACATATAACAGATGTTGGTTTTATCACTTTATTTCTAATTATAAACATTTCCATAGTATAAAATGGTTACATTTTCTTAATGGCTGCAGTAGTGTCATATCAGGTGAGTGAATCAGTTGCAAGGTTACTAGTCACATTAACTGTACATATACATTAATTTGGGTAGGCTTGACTTACATACTTAGGATTTTCTGCAGCATGTTAATGATTCTCTGCTTATCCAGGTTCTCTCACCCACCCACAGGATTTGTTGTCATTTACTACTGAATAATTCAGAGTTTTCATTTATATTGCCTTTTTAGTTTGAAGGTTTTTCATTTTTTTCCCCTGGATATGCAGGTTTTGGTTTCCGTTTTTATAGATGTGTTGAATTTCTCATTAATATTTCTCTCTTGCGTCTCCTGCATTGGCAGGCAGATTCTTTACCACTGAGCCACCTGGGAATCCATATCTCTTATACAGATCATTCCTAAGGTACGGAAGAGGTGCCTTTTTCATGCAAAGATAACACAAAAATATTAAACATATACATACACCATGGTTTGCATTTCTGGTTTTGTTGTGTTGTGGTCAAGAAATAAGCTTCTTTGATATTAATATGTGAGACTTATGAAAATGTCTTTCTATGGCCTACTTTGCTCTTTAAGGCTTCATATTTTTCTCTTTGTACATGTGTGTATTTCTGGAAAAGCAGGTGGCCCTTCTAGGGCAACAGGAGTGATGCCATAAAGTGGATGTGTGCAGTGCCAGGAAACCATCAGGAAATCCTACCCGTTCATTATAGGAGGGACAGGAGGACTCGTGAACAGGGGATTATGAAATTTGAATATGGGCGAGATGTTGTATTCATGTTCTTCCCCCCGCCCCCATGAGTAGTCCTGAGTTTGATGGTCCCTGATAGTCCTATAAATAGTTCTATACGTTTTCTCTTGTCCAGATCTCTGGTCCTGGTGCATAGAGTAAAGTGATTCAAGGTTGGCGACCGAGTGGAATTGCATGTACCCAGAGATCAAAAGACAGAGGATGAGTTGCTTGGATGGCATCACTGACTCAATGGATACGCGTTTGAGCAAGCTTCGGGAAATAGTGAAGGTAAGGGAAGCCTGGTGTGCCACAGTCCATGGGGTCACAAAGAATCAGACATGACTTAGTGACTGAACAACAAGAGATCAAAGAACAGTTGTGGTGGGTAGAATGGGGGTGGGTCTGTGGTTTTGGGGATTTAGAAAAGCTATTGGGAAATTATCTTGGAAAAATTTGTGGCCAGAAGGAGTGGAAGCAAAAACTCATGGTGATCCCACTGAATCAGTGAGCTTATAACATGAGTCTTTCTGACTCCTTGTCTGTCTTTGATTTGCTGCTTTGGAATGAGTGTTGGGACTTGCTTCTGTTCTAGTTTTCTCTTTGTGGAAGAAGTTTGCTCTTTGTTTGTGCATTGAATGTTCTAAGAGCTGTTTCAGACATCCAGTGTATGCCCTGTGCTTGTATGCTACTTTCTAGGGTGGTATTATGGGTAGTGAGCTTTTTCAGTCAGCTCTTCAGAGAGCTAAACTTTTGGAGGTTGTCTGGTAAAGAAAGTACAAAGTGGTTAAGGTGATGAGCTGTGGAGAGAAGAAGCCCAGGTTTGAGATTCAGCACTGCCTCTGAGAAAGTATGCGACTCCGGACAAGATACTTTAGGTTCTAAGCCTTGACTTGTTTCATTTAAACATAAATCTAGTGATTTGATACATCTGGATTGGTGGCAAGGATTAAATAAGAAAATACTTATGATTTGCTTAGCATGTTAATCTTCATGGTGTTTGCACTGCCCTGATGTCTACATGTTGTGGTTTTCTAAACAAAAGGAAACTTTCAAGTATTAGGATTTTATGTTAGAGGACACCTATATTAGATTTTGTGTTGGTTCTGTAATTTTTTTGTTCAGTCGCTCAGTCATGTCTGACTCTTTGCAATCCCCTGGACTGCAGCATGCCAGGCTTCCCTGTCCTTCACCATTTCCTGGAGTTTACACAAACTTGTGTCCATTGAGTCAATGATGCCATCCAACCATCTCATCCTTTGTTAGCCCCTTCTCCTCCTGCCTTCAATCTGTGATAAAGTAACATAAACTTAGTTGTGTAAACACAAATCTATTGTCTTAGATTTCTATGGGTTAGCAGTCCAACATGGATCTTACAGGGCTGAAACCAAGGTCTTAGCAGGAGCGTGTTCTTTCCTGGAGGCTGTGGGGGCCAGCTATTTCTTTGTCTTTTCAAGCTTCTAGAGTCTGTCCATGCTCCTTGGCTCCTGGTTCCTTTTATCCCCATCTCCAAAGCCAGGAGCGGCGTGTCGAGTTCTTATCACATCGCATCTCTCTCTGGTCCCTTCTGCTTTCTTCCATGCATAAGGGCCCTTTTGGTTACATTGGCCCTACCTGAATAATCCAGGGAATCTCTGGATTAGTAGGTCATCTGATTAGCAACTGTAATTTCATTAACAACCTCCATTCCCCTTTGCCATGTGATGTAACATATTCACAGCTTCTAGAGATTAGAACGTGGATATCTTTGTGGGGGCCGTGACTCTGCCTACCACAGCAACTTTAGCAACACCAACAAGGTGTATGGCCCAGTAGTTGTGGTTTAGTCCCTCAGTCTTGTCTGACTCTTTGTGACCCCAGGGACTGTAGCTGGACTGTAGCCCACCCGGCTCTTCTGTCCATGGGATTTCCAGGGGAATGTACAAATTGAAGTGAATTGGCTTTTGGACTGGGCTTGACATGTATACAGTATTGATACTGTGATATCACTATGATGTACACTATTGATAAGATAACTAATGAGAACCTACTGTATAGCACAGGGAAATCTACTCAGTGCTCTATGGTGATCTAAATGGAAAGGAGCTCTAAGTAGATGGGGATATGTGTATATGTGTCCCTGATTCACTTTGCTTTACAACAGAAATTTACACAGCATTGTAAAGCAATTATACTCCAGGAAAAGTAAAGTGAGTTTGTTTTTAAGTCCTTAGAATCAAGTGAAGTAAGCAGAAGGAAGTTCCAGGACCAGGAAAGGATCACTTCCAGGAATACGTTAATTTGAGATGCGAAGTGTTTGATCGGAATTTGAGTGACAATCTGGAAAAATAGAAGAATCCCAGTTCCAGTCATTTTCTAAGAACAGAAGAAAATGACCACGGTCCAGGTGAGTTTGACATGTTTACTTCCTCCTTTCTTTCATGTTGTATTTGTAGAGGCTTATAAAAATTGACTTAATTTATTGGAAAATGACACATTTTTGAGAGCCTGAATCTGAAGAAAAATGAATATCAACCATAATGTCTGTGTCAGGGTAAATTTCAAATGGGGGGGAATGCACGCAAAGAATCTGCTCAGAATTTTTAACGTCAGAATATTAATTAAAAAACTGTAAGACCCTAGGGGTTATTTATGTTGTTGTTCAGTCACTAAGTCTTGTCTGACTCTTTGCAACCCCATTGACTGCTGTGTACGAGGCCTCTCTGTCCTTCACTGTCTCCCAGAGTTTGCTCAAACTCATGTCCATTGAGTTGGTGATGCCATCCAACCATCTCATCCTCTTTTGCCCCCTCTCCTCTCTTTTGCCTCCTACTCTCAATCTTCCCAGCATCAGGGTCTTTTTCCAATGAGTCAGCNTTTATCTTTCTGGCTTACTTCACTCTGTATAATGGGCTCCAGTTTCATCCATCTCATTAGAACTGATTCAAATGAATTCTTTTTAATGGCTGAGTAATACTCCATTGTGTATATGTACCACAGCTTCCTTATCCATTCGTCTGCTGATGGGCATCTAGGTTGCTTCCATGTCCTGGCTATTATAAACAGTGCTATTATAAACAGCAATGAACATTGTCTCTGCTTTTTAATACACTGTCTAGGTTTGTCATAGCTTTCCTTCCAAGGAGCAAGTATCTTTTAATTTCGTGGCTTCAGTCACTGTCCATAGTGATTATGGAGCCCAAGAAAATAAAATCTGCCACTGTTTACACTTTTTTCCCATCTATTTGCCATGAAGTGATGGAACCAGATGCCGTGATCTTAGTTTTTTGACTGTTGGGTTTTAAGCCAGCTTTTTCATTCTCTTATGTTGCTTTACTAGGTTATCTCCAATAATTTTGGAAGCCAGTGCCAACAAGAGAAATAGCAAGCATTATGTGATTCATGTTTTTTTGCAGAGAAGGTAAATCATTTCCTCAGTAAAGTAAATCTTTCCTGGTACTGAAGTTTTAATAAATTACTTATTTATTTGGCTGTGTTTGGTCTTAGTTGCAGCATACAATATCTTTGAGTTGTGGCATGTGAGACCTAGTTCCCTGGCCAGGGATTGAACCACGGCCCCCTGCATTGGAAATGTGGAACCTTAGTCACTGGACCAGCAGGGAAGTCATCACTGCTGTTGAGAACTTAGAGACAATAAATCATATTGGTTATTCTTTTGTTATGTATATGTAGTTTCCCTTTGGATATTTTTGAATTTTCCCTTTGAGTTTGGTGTTCTGCAGTTTTACCTCCATGTGTGTATAGCAGTGGATCTCTTTTTTCCTCCTGCTTGGCATTGTTGAGTTCTCTCATTCTGAGGTTTTGTCTTTTACCAGTTCTAAAATGTAATCTGCCTGTTTATCTTTGATTATTACCTTCCCTCAGATTTTTTTCTTCTCCCCTCAGATTCAGAATAGGTGTAAATTCAGCCTTCTCACTATGTCCTTCATATCTCTCAACCTCACTTTTGTATTTTCCATTGTTTTCTTTTGTACTTCAGATCTGTTGTCCAGTTCACTTCTGTGTTATATCGAATTGGTAGTCAGTCTGCAAATTGAAATATTTAGTTTCAGTTTCTGGATTCATTGCTTTGAATTGATCTTTGTTTCTTCAAGTTAGCCGTCTCATCTTTAAGACTGTGTTATGCCTTTGCACGCATTAAACATTGTCTATATTTCAGTGTCTTACAGTTCCAGCATCATCAGGTTTTTCATGTTTAATTCTAGCGCTTATTGTTTCTGTTTAACTTGTGCACTGTGAAGGCTTCTTGAGGGTAAGAACATGTGTGTTCATTTTGATATCACCTGCACATAGTTCAGTGAATGCACATATGTACACAGATGGCAGATGTGTCAAGGTTAAAAGAGGTTTTAATGACATTTCAGGAAACCTGAATTATTGAGTGAATGGGTGACTGAATTAGAGTAACAGGATGTCTGTATAAGATTTTCCATTCTTCAATGCTGGATAATATATCACATATATGGATACAACCTACACAGTAGAAAGGATTAGATTTCTATACGTCTCTTCCAAACCATCTAAGAATCACCCCAGATTAAAGAAGAATTTGTTACTACAGGGATCATTATTGTTTGAAGATGTGGCTGTGGAGTTCACCTGGTAGGAGTGGAGGCTACTAGACCCTGCTCAGAAGGACCTATACCAGGACGTGATGCTGGAGAACTACAGCAACCTGCTGTCTGTGGGTGAGGACCACTCCCCCGTGTCACTCACTGTGCCCGGTCAGCAGTCTTGCCTTTCTCAGTTGTGGAATGATTTGGGGGCAGATATCTGAAGTACGAATGATGTAAGAGAGATTGTCAGACTTCTGCCAAGGGCCAGATACTGCAGTGTGTGCGGGCTGCCTACTGTTTCTCTAACATATTCTTTTTTTTAAAAAGCGCATTTATTTATTTATTTATTTATTTTTTAGCACACACACTATATATATATATACACGATATTTTATTTATTTATTTATTTATTTATTTATGGCTGTGCTCGCTCTTCTATGCTGTGTGGGCTTTTCTCTAGGAAGTGGGGACTACTTTCTAGTTGCAGTGCACAGACTTCTCATTGCAGTGGCTTCTCTTGTGTGGAGGTCTCTAGGGCATGGGGGCTTCAGTAGTTGGGGTTCCTGGGCTCAAGAACACAGGCTCAGTAGTTGTGGCACATGGGCTTAGTTGCTCCTCAGCATGTGGAATCTTCCCGGACCAGTGAGCAAACCCGTGTCTTCTACATTGGCAAGTGGATTCTTTTACCACTGAGCCATCAGGGAAGCCCAGATATATATAATCAATTATGTAGGTATTCCGCTAAATTTATTATATGTATTATAAGTAAGTAAGAGTTAGTCACTCAGTCGCATCCGACTCTGTGACCCCCATGGACTAGCCCACTAGGCTTCTCTGTCCATGGAATTCTCCAGGCAAGAATACTGGAGTAGGTTGCCATTGCCTTCTCCAAAGGATCTTCCCAATTCAGGGATTGAACCCAGGTCACCTACATTGTAGACAGATTCTTTACCATCTGAGCCACCAGGGAAGTCCATACGTACTATAAAAGATACATTAAAAATAGAAACGTCAAAAGGATGAGACATTCATGAGATGAATATTTTTAAGTAATTTTAATTTTTAAAATGTAGTGGTATAAAACACGTTTGCTATCGTGTTTTAGAAGTTTTCCTTTACTTCTTGAATACTCTGTTTTGTAAGAGCACTTTATTCTGAATGAATAGCACTTTTAAAGTGTGACAGTGTAATGTCTTAGTTACAGTCACTGACCAGAGTTTGTTTACCCATACATATGACTTGAATTTTTATAAATGATAGATTCTTAGTCTCCCCTCAGGCTTCAGACAGATTTATTTCATCTAGGATCTTGATTTGTTTTGCTTAGACTTTTTTTTTCTTTCTATGGTTTCTCAAGTTTTTGCTACTGCAAGGGGAAAGCTACTTCCAAGGTGCAGCTTCATAATCTGTTAATATAAATGGGATCATTGAACAGTGTTTAGATTTCATGCCCAAAGATTTTGCTAAATAGTATGTTATTTTTTTGTGAATTAGGGTATCAAAGTCCCAAACCAACTGAAATCTTCAAGTTGAAGCAAGGAGACAAACCATGGATAGAAAGGGAAAGTATCCATGATCCAGGTAAGTGAATGAGAAGCATCCAGGGAGAAAAGAAGTCAAGTCCTACATCTGTGAAGGCCTCACACCTCTGAAGTCATGTTATGGTGACTCATCTTCTAGTTACTTTGACAGTATGTCAGCAGAGCCTCTGAGGATTCCTCTCCTATGTTCATATTCATTACTTAATCATTTAGAGGAAAATACTCATGTTTTCACCTCTGGATTTTATACTGATATATTTCATCTAGAGTCTTGATTTGCTTTGCTTAGATTTTTTTCTTTCTATGGATTCTCAAGTTTTTCACTTCTTCACTGACTGCCGTGGTATCACTGCTTGTTCCTTCCTCTTACCTTGCTTTGAAAATTCAGGCTTCCATGCCTCTCTGCAAAGAGAGAACTTCAGATTCACCATCATCTCCTGACTAGTGAACCTCAGGTAATATTGATTTCCCTTCCTAACATTCAGCCCCACCCTGAATGCTGTTCTCATGGCAACTTGGTCTTTTAGTGTACATCTGTCTGTTTATTCATTCTGGATGGGCAAATATGAGATAAAGCAAATGTAGCAATATGTTAACTGTAGAATCAAAGAGGTGGGTATATAGCTGTTCACTGTGTAGTTCATTCAATTTGTATGTTTGAAAAAATTTTTTAATAAAATTATGAGAAATGCTATAAGTATTGTAATTTTCAGAATGAATTATGCCTCCCATATAGATTGAAATAAAGGAATTCAGTCAAGTAAAAAAAAAGAATTACAATCTTAGGCCTCACCTGAAGTCAAACCATAACCCTCATGCATACTTTGCTGATTTCCTCATATATTTGCTGGGTCAGAGATATATATCTATATCTATATCTATATCTATATATTTTTTTTCCCTCTCTTTTTTGGCAGTGCTGTATGGCACACAGGATCTTAGTTCCCAAATCAGGGATCAAACCTGTGTTGCCTACAGTGGAAGCTCAGAGTCTTAACCACTGGACCATCAGGGAAGTCCTCACAAAACCTTCAATTGTAAAAAAAAAAAGAAAAAAAACCACACTATCTGCAGAGTACAATAAAACAACAATAAAATTAGCTGTGTTTGTATAGAAATATTACCCAAAGAGGGAATTCATTGGCAGTCCTGTGGTTAGGACTCCATGCTTCCCCTGCAGTGGGCATGGACCAGACTAGATCCCTGGTCAGGGAACTAAGATGCTCTGCAAGTGTGTGGTGCAGCCAAAAAAAACCAAATTGAATTGAAGGTTTGTGGCAGCTCTGTGTCGAGCAAACCTGTTGGCACCATTTTTTCCAACAACATTTGCTCCCTTTGTGTCTTTCTCAAATTTTGGTAATTCTCTCAATATTTCAAACTTTTTATTATTATGTTTGTTATGGTGATTTGTAATCCATGATCTTTCATGTTATTTCTACAACTCACAGAAAGCTCAGATGATGGCTAGCAATTTTTAATGTGGGAGAATGCGAGGGTGGGATGTTTCGAGAGAACAGCATTGAAACATGTATATTATATAGGGTGAAACAGATCACCAGCCCAGGTTGGATGCGTGAGACAAGTGCTCGGACCTGGTGCACTGGGAAGACCCAGAGGGATCGGGTGGAGAGGGAGGTGGGAGTGGGGATCGGGATGGGGAACACATGTAAATCCATGGCTGATTCATGTCAATGTATGACAAAACCCACTACAATATTGTAAAATGATTAGCCTCCAACTAATAAAAAAATAAATTAAAAAAAATAAAATATGTACTCCGTTTTAAACATAATGCTATTGCACACTTAACAGACTACAGTATTGTGTAAACATAACTTTTATATGCACTGGGAAACAAATTCTTGTCACTAGCTTTATTGCAATACTTGCTTTATTATGGTGGTCTGGAACTGAACCTGGAATATCTCTGAGTTATGCCTGTACAGATAACCCCATATTTATCCTCTAACCAAAATCTTCTCCAAATTCCTCTTTCCAGTTGAGTTCTTTATGTCTGTACTAAGATACCCACCTTAGGATGTTTGTGTCAAAATACACACTGATTTTCCCACATTAAAAATCTCTTTCCCTCGTGTTCCTCACCAACTTAAGCTAGAACTTCTAGTCATTTAGGCCAAATCCTGAGGAAAATCTTTAATTCCTCCTTTTTACTTACATTGAATTCAACAGTGAATGTTGTTTTTTCCTTCTAGATGTGCCTTGAGTTCTTGACTTGTCCACATGTATACTGTTGTTGCTCCAGACCAAGGCACTATTGTCTCTTGCCTGATTACTTCATTAACTTTCTCTCCCACACTTCTTCCTCTCCTATCACTATCCACGCAGCAGTCAGCAATCTTTTGGAAATAGAAATCAGAACCCCCCTCCTCCTCAGAGCTTCTGGTGGCTCATCACTAGTCTTAGCTTTAAATTCAGATTCTTCTACCAGATCTACATAGTATGACTTCTGTCTACCTTTTGAACTTTAAGTTTTCCTTCTCTCTATGTAACTGTTCCATTCAGGGCCCACTGGCTACCTTTCTATTTCTTGATCTGGCCAAACCTTTCCTTTGTCAAGGCTTTTGCACTGCTGTCGTACTTGAATGAAACATGAAGTTACTTACATGAAGCTGCTTAATTTTTATTCCTAGTTTCTTGGCTCACCTTTTATTTCCTTACAGGGCATTGTTATTTTTCATGTGCTGGGAACCACTTTTCAGTGTGAATTTGTCTTATTCCATTTTGTTCTCTTTTGCCCAGGGGAATGCAGAAAATGTGTTTCTCTTTAGTGTGTATTCAGATGCTGTGACAGCACATGATACATATTAGACATTCAATAAATATTGGGGGAGAGAATGGATACGTCCTCCATAATGTTAGATCAGATGTCTCTCCAACTTATTTTATTTTGTGTTAATGACACATATTTTTACTTTGTCCTCTTTTGCCAGTTTCGCAGGGATCTCTTTGGAGAGCACCAAATATTTTACTAATTGAGAATTCTCTGCCACTGATTCTATATCTTTTTTTTTTTTTTAGATGTTATGACCTTATTCTGTTTACCCCCATTTTCACGAAGTAAATTTATACTTAATGATTTTTTTCATATGACATAATTGTCAGAGAGAGCTAGCCCAAACCATTTCATTTTAGAAGCAGTTTTATTGCATATCCTGATTGTGAAAATTCATTTTCTTTCTAGAAGTTGGTGATCCTATGCAGCAATCCTTGGAATCCAATACAAGCATAAAAATATGGAAAGAGGCCATGAACTCAGTTCTTTGGGAAATATTTTTTGTCTGCATGGAAATCTTGTTACTTTAAGGCAAATCCATGATAAGTTTGACATACTGAACTCTAATTTAGATTTAGTTAACCAGAAGCTCCATAGCAAAGAATCCTGACAAGTTTAATAAATACGAGAAATCATTTCTTCATAGTAAACATGAAAAACATTACACTGGAATTAAATGCAATAAACGTGGAAACACTTTCCGCACCAATTCAAAACTCAGTATACATCAGATTGAAAAAGGAAAGAAACATGAGTGTATGGAATGTGGTAAAACCTTCATCAAAAAGTCTCAGCTCACTGTACACCAGAGAACACATACAGGAGAGAAGTCGTATAAATGCCTTAAATGTGGTAAAGCCTTCTGCAGGAAGGCAGAGCTTAATATACATATGCAAGTTGAACGAGGAATAAAACCCCACGCATGCAGTGAGTGTGGGAAAACCTTCTCTAGGAAGTCTCAGCTCCTTGTACATCAGAAAACTCACACAGGAGAGAAACCATATATGTGCAGTGAATGTGGGAAAGGCTTCATTCAGAAGGGTAACTTCTTATACATCAACAAATTCATACTGGAGAGAAGCCCTATAGGTGCAAAGAGTGTGGTAAAGTCTTCAGTCACAAGCCATGTCTCGTTGCACATCAAATATTTCACACTGGAAATCCTATGTATGCACTGAGTGTGGAAAAGCCTACTTTCAGAAGTCAAGTCTCATTAGACATCAAAAAGGTCACACAGAAAAGTGCCACAAATGCAATGTGTGTGGGAAAAGCTACTCCACGAAGTTCATACTTAGCAGACACCAGAGAGTCCATACAGGAGAGAAGCCCCATGGGTGCAGCAGCTGTGGGAAAGCCTTCTGCCACAAGTCCTCCCTCACTAAACATAAGAGAACTCATACAAAAGAGAAACGTGTCAATTCAGTCAAGGTAGAAAAGGATTCCTTGGAGAGCTATGACTCATGTGCCACAGAACCCAAACAGGAGAAAACCTACATTGAGACAGTGACAATGCAGGGGCCTGCTATGGCAGTGCAGGCATCATTAAACATCCATGGGTTCCTTGCCCAAGGGAATGTGGTTCTTGTGGGAGAGCCTGTGGCCAGATATGTCCCCTCAGGAGATGGCAGAGAGTTTTCACAGGAGAGGAACCTCATGAATATAGTTAGTGTGGTACTGCCTTCAGTTACCAATTATGTCTTCTTTTATGTCACAGGAAACATGTAAGGAGGAGTGCATTCAATGTGGACCAGCCTTTGGAGCAGACTTTAGCTTTTTTTGTAGTTGAAAACTCTCACTGAGAGAATGCTAATGAATGCCAATAATGGAAAGGTCAATCAGTCAGTCATTGTTAGTCGCTCAGTTGTGGCTGATTCTTTGTGACCCCATGGACTGTAGCTCGCCAGGCTCCTCTGTCCATGGAATTCTCCAGGCACGAATACTGGAGTGGGTTGCCAATCCCTTCTCCAGAGGATTTTCCCAACCCAGGGATCAAACCTGGGTCTCTTGCATTGCAGACAGATTCTTTACCATCTGAGCCGCTAGGGGAACCCAGTACAAAGATATACTTCATTAAATATCAGCAGCTCTTAGTAGGTTGAATAGTAGCGAGCTTGACTTCAAAAGCATCATAAATTCACATCAGAAAGAAATTTTGGGAAGGCAAATATGTCCAGTCCATAAGACCACCCTCATGTTTGATTATTCTCTGAAAGCACTGACTCAGAAACTAAAAAACCCCACAAAAACCTCAAAAACTCAAAAGAAAAAAGAAAAACTCAAAAGCTGCTATACTTATGGTTACAGGTTATGATGGTGAAAAGTTACAAATTAGCAAATCTAAAAGGTGCTTAAGGCAGACTTTAGGAGAAATCAGGTACATCCAGTTGTCCTCCCCAGTGGAGTTGTATGGACTGTGTGTCAGTTATGTGACAACTCATGTGCGTATTGCCAGCCAGAGAAACTCACCTGAGCCTTAGTGCCTGGGGATTTGGGATGGGGTGTCAGTAAAGGGGCCTCTTATGCTAGCATGGAGAAACCACATGACTGACTTTACTTTTTCAAGCTCTAGCCTCCTTAAAGTCAAACCAATACAGCATGGCCCAGACCCCCAGGCAAACAAAAGCAAGTGTTCACCAAAAATCATATTGCTGGAATAAACTGTATGGCATAGTTCAAACCCCAGGTATGTAAAGATGCTTTCAGCAGGCAGGCTGTTCCAAGGGCTTAGAGGTTCCCTCTCAGGTGCAGATCAAAAGCCAGTCCTTTCTTTGGAATGTGCAGGGTCTGAACACCCTCAACCTGCCAAGTCAGCTTCTAATTTGCATACCAGTTAAGACGGTAAGGTTTTTAATAACATTGTTCCTCATCATGTGTCAGAAATAAATGTCTATGGATACACGAAATGTGTAGAACCTTTAGCAGAATGGCAGCCAATCTCATAAAGGACATAAGCTTGTGATTGTAGTGGAAATTTGGAAACTTGTTGACGTAAAACTACCTTATTTTCCATCAGATTAACACCCTTAATATGTGTGTGTGTGTGTGTGTGTGTGTGTGTTTTCATTTTTTGGCTGCACGCCACAGCTTGTGGAACTTTCCTGACCAGGGATCCAACCCATGCCTTCTGCAGTGGAAGCATGGAGTCTTAACCACTGGACTGCCAGGGAAGTCCTTAATGTGTAGTTTGATAGAGAAGGACTTGAACTCTTTCTCATTGCTAGGGAATGACTCTGTAACTCACCTGATGATAGTTCATAGCAATGTCACATTGTACCTATTATATCTAAATCTTTGGTCACCTTTGTTAGATTCTTTTAGAAGCAAATTGCTAGGCCAGCCCACCCTCAATGGGAGAGTTGCACATCTGTGAGGGCCTTCTTAGAGTCAACCTACCTGAATGATCATCAGGGAAAAAGATATTCTTTGTGGAAAGTTGCCATGGTTTCCTGTTTAAACAGTGCTTGAACAGAACCTGGCACTCTCTATGTTCCCCCCAACCCCACCTTGATCCAGCCTGGCCATGCAGAGCCAGCCTTCTGCCACCGCCTCACGGCACCCTTGGACCACTCCCAAGGTGTCTGCTGCTGCTCCAGTGCGGTAAGCCGCTGCCTCTCAGCCCCCTGATGTGACCACCGTTTACCCCTTGCAGGGGCCCCAGCACTCCCGCCAGGGCTTGGAGGCCACAATCAACTGCCAGAGCCACCTGGAGCCTCCCAAGTTTACCTGTCCACCTCTCACTATGATGGCAATGCTGTGGCTTTGGAGAACTTTGTCAGATGTCTTCCTAGCCAGTCTCATGAGGGGAGGGAACACGCTGAGAAGCAGATGAAGCTGTGAGAACCTCTGAGGCGGCTGCATCTTCCTCTGGTGTATCCAGAAACTGGAACAGGATGACTCAGAGTGGGCTCAGTGCAATGGAATGTGTGTTCCACTCAGAAAAGTGCATGAATCAGTCACTACTGGAACTGCACACGTTACATGATAGATAATACTTGCTGACAGAGATGAGCCCTGCTTGTGTGACAACCTGACTGAGCAGGTGAAACACACCAGAACTGAGTGACCACATAACCGACTTGTGTGTGGTGAGGGTTCCTGAATCGGGTGTGGCAGAGTGTTTCTGAGAGGCATACCCAATGATGATGAGAGCTAAGTGTTAGGCTGGCTTCCCAGTGGCCATGGGGGTGACTTCCATGGTCACCATGGTAGTGCATCCCTTTTGGGTTTTTCTTTACCCTTTCTGTAAGTTGTATAATACTAAAGCACTAAAGCATCCACTTAACGTTTTTTTGTGTTTTTTTTTTTTTCATTTGCCTGTTCCTTCAAATTTGGTACCTAGAAAAAAAAAATGACGGACACATTAAAGACCCCAGTATATACTCAGATTCCAGTACCATTGAGAACACCCAGTCTCATGGGAGGAGGGCCCTGGCTGATAAGAAAATCTCACAAATGTCACCTTGTTTGTTACATAGGAGGGATTTAGCTAGAGGTCATTGCTTGCCAGTTATTCACTTGAAACATTGTGCTGAGTCAGGACCCTGGAGGCTTAATAACTCCCCCTCCCCAAAGTTTCTCCCCCCACTGCTCTCCTCTCCTTTCCCCCCTCCACCTTGGAACTCTTCTTCCACTCTCTGAGGAGAGTATATGGCTGGCCGTTGCTAGAATCCCTGAGGACATGGGATGAAGATGATTCTGAGACTCTGGACAAAAACTGAAAACACCAATTGTTTTCTCTGCAGCAGGGAGACAAACAGGAAAAAGCAAGTCCCATCTCCATCTTCATTCTGCCTACCTGTTCTTTTTAGTGCCCCCACATTGGCAGAACTTAATATGAAGCTGGCAAGAGAATCTGGTTTGCGCTATCACAAAGCAGACAGTGGAAGAGTAGGTTGAGAGATGAGAGACAGTAGCTAAATAATCAGGCCAGCAACCTACTTCAGTTGAGATTAACTGTGGCGCATGTCCCTGGCCCCGCAGTTTACAGATGTTACAATTCACTTACAGATTGTGCAGATTGAAAATATGAATAAAATGTATTTAAACAGTCCTTGAATATTTGTTCTATATAAGACAATCTGTTAGTAAAGTTACTAGTCATGATTTGTGTGTTCTGTGTGTGTGTGTGTGTGGTGGGATTTGTTAGTAACTGATGAGATTTATGACACAAAACACTAGTATGATTTATGCCCCTATAATCTGTTCTGTATGTTTTGTTTGTTTTTTGTATGTTCTTATTTTAGGGACAGATACACAGTCTGAAATCATGTAAAGTGAGGAAAAGGAAGATCCTTTAAGGTGCTGAAATTATTGATCATTGGTATGGAAAAGATGAAATTAGGTACCTGCCTCACATTGGGCTTCCCCTGTAGCTCAATCGGTAAAGAATCTTCCTGCAGTACAGACCTGGGTTCAATCCCTGGGTTGGGAAGATTCCCTGGAGAATGAAATGGCAACCCACTCCAGTATGCTTGCCTGGAAAACCTCATGGACACAGGAGCCTGGTGGGCTGCAGTCCATGGGGTCACAAAGTGTTGGGCACGACTGAGTGACTAACACTTACTCACATTGTACATCAAGATCCATTCTCATTAGATCAAAGACCTAAATTTGAAGGGTAATATTTAAAGAACACAATCTGGGGGAGAGAATTGAACTCTGATCATTTCAAAAGCCTTCTTTCCAGTGGCTTCCAGCTGTGACATCCTCATATGCCCAATAATTGACTCTTGGGATTGCCCAGTCCGTGACCGCAAGGACCTTCCCATCACTGGCCTGTACAGAATATTTAAAGAAATATTTATGAAGTTTTTTCTTTTCTTTTTTTTGAGGAGGACCATTTTTAAAGGCTTTACTGAATTTGTTACAATATTGCTTCTGTTCTGTTTTTTGTTTTTTTTCCATGAAGTATATGGGATCTTGGTTTCCTAACCAGGCATCGAACCCACACTCCTTGCATTGGAAAGTGAATTTTTAACCACTGGACCTCCATGGAAGTCCCCTGTGACGTTTCTTAATCATGGTTTTGGAAGTCAGAATGTGTGTATGATTCTGGCTCTTTGGTCCATGGCTTGAGCATCTTTGAGTTCATTTTGCTCAGAAGAAACAACCTGAGTTAGTATGTTAATGATGATATCTACAACAGCAATTTTATCCTCACATTGGGCTTCCCCTGTAGCTCAATCGGTAAAGAATCTTCCTGCAGTACAGACCTGGGTTCAATCCCTGGGTTGGGAAGATTCCCTGGAGCAGGAAATGGCAACCCACTCCAGTATCCTTGCCTGGAAAACCTCATGGACACAGGAGCCTGGTGGGCTGCAGTCCATGGGGTCACAAAGTGTTGGGCACAACTGAGTGACTAACACTTACTCACATTGTACATCAAGATCCATTCTCGTTAGATCAAAGACCTAAATTTGAAGGGTAATATTTAAGAAAACACAATCTGGGGGAGAGAATTGGACTCTGATCATTTCAAAAGCCCTCTTTCCAGTGGCTTCCAGCTGTGACATCCTCATATGCCCAATAATTGACTCTTGGGATTGCCCAGTCCCTGACCGCAAGGACCTTCCCATCACTGGCCTGTATAGAATATTTAAAAAAATATTTATGAAGTTTTTTCTTTTCTTTTTTTTGAGGAGGACCATTTTTAAAGGCTTTACTGAATTTGTTACAATAGTGCTTCTGTTCTGTTTTTTGTTTTTTTTTCCATGAAGTATATGGGATCTTGGCTTCCTAACCAGGCATCAAACCCACACTCCTTGCATTAGAAAGTGAATTTTTAACCACTGGACCTCCATGGAAGTCCCCTGTGATGTTTCTTAATCATGGTTTTGGAAGTCAGAATGTGTGTATGATTCTGGCTATTTGGTCCATGGCTTGAGCATCTTTGAGTTCATTTTGCTCAGAAGAAACAACCTGAGTTAGTATGTTAATGATGATATCTACAACAGCAATTTTATTACATTAAAGGTGTTATTGACAGCAGCAGTCTCAGTCCTCTGACTCTGGTGGATTGGTGTTCACTTAGTTCAGGGCTGGGGTCAGAGAGTATAAGGGAATAAAGTTCTGGACAGAGATTAATCATAAACTCAGTAGTGATATCAAGCAAGACCATGTGGGGTTCCTTGGCATGATAGCCTTTCTGTGTCCCCCACTTCTTGATTATAGAAAACAGGCTTCATTTAGCCTTCAGAACCCTTCCTGAGTTCCTTGGGGCAGGTTCAAGTGGATACTAATTAGGGAAGGGAAGGAATGCAGAGACTAGAGAGGAACAGTCTAGAAACAATAGTGCAGGCCTGGGGCAAAGTCCTGGTAGTATTAGTAGCTCAGTCCTTTCTGATACTTTGCGACCCCAGGGCCTGCAGCCCGCCAGCCACCTGTGTCCATGGGATTTCCCAGGCAAGAATACTGGGATGGGTAGCCATTCCCTTCTCCAGGGGATATTATAGGCAGATTCTTTACCGTCTGAGCCACCAGGGAAGCCTGGTGCAGTCCTGTTTCCCCTCAAAGTGTAGTGGTGGCCTCCCCAACCAAACCCAAAGCGTGCTAGGCCCTGTCCTTCTTCCCTGGCGCCCGCGTGCTTCGTGGAGGCAGGAGCCGCCCCATAGCGCCTCTCATTGGGCGGCGGCACCTAGCCCTCAGGCCGCCCTGCTCCGGCCATCGACCCACTGTGCAAGTGGGCAGGTGGGAGTTACACTCCGGAGGCACCAGCTCCCAGGTCACCCCATTGGTCACGAGCTGGCTGGTGGGGCCGGCGGCAGGCTGAACCCACAGCGCCTGCAGCTTCAGACAGTGATTTCGGTTAATGGGCCCATCAATTGCCTCTACGTGGCCACCGTGGTCTCTGCAGCCTCCATGCCTCGCTCCATTGAGGGCTGGAGGACGATGTTGCTGAAGTGGCCAAGTACTTCTTCGGACTCGGCTGCTTTTTAGAGTCGCTCCTTTCCGCTCCTTCTCCGTGTGTAAGGTAGTGAGCCAGGCACAGGCTCTAGCGGTCTCCCTCAGCCATTGGCTGGCGCCACAATGGGTCCCGCCCACAAGCAAGGATCGCTAGTGAGCAACTGTCAACCTCGGTCGGTTAGTGGTCCTGCTCAGCCGTTGGTCAGTGGCACAGTGGGCCCCTTCCTCTTCCCCTCTTGTATATAAAAGGAGCTCGAATTCCGACCGAAAGCTGACTTTTTGAGATGCTAGTCTGCCACCTTCTCAGTCTGCTAGTTTTCTGATTGCAAGTCATTACTCCTTGTCCCAACAACTAGTCTGTAGATTTATTGGCCTGTCTCGCATGGAGCAGAAAGAGGTTGGGCTTGGTAGCAAATGGATTCACACCCTGTCAGTTAAGCTGTGTTGCAGATACTGAACCCCCACCAGGTGGGAGAATTTAATTATATTACAGCTTGTGCTGCACACAAGTACTTAGACCCCTGACCACTTGAATCCAGTAGGTTCACTATATTGACGCCCACTTACTTCACGACCAACCAATCAGAAGAGTGTGCATGAACTGACCACGTCCTCTCTGAGCCCTTACTATAAAACCCCCTCACTACCTCTTCAGGTTAAGACAGTTTTGAGGGGTTAGACTGCTGTGGGTCCTTTTGCCTGGCAAAGCTGTAAAGCTATTTCCTACTTCACTCTAAACTCAGTCTCCAAAATCAGTTCAGTGTCGGGGTACAGATGCTGGATTCGGCTTCAGTAGGGGAACTCAGTTTTAGGGGGACCCAATTTCATCACCTCAACTTCTCCAAACCTGGACTTTTCTCTAGAGCCTTCTATAGCCAAAAACTTTCTCAAGGTCTGCCTATTGACCAGACTCTTCTCTGCTAAGGATAAAACACCTCAGCCTGTTGGACACAACCACCTCCTTCAACATGACCACAGCCTCCTGTGACAGACTCGGTGGACAGGCATTTTAGGTCTTGGTCCCACTTAACTGACAGGGAAGAAGCCTAAGCTGCATGGTCAGAGTCTGTATGTGTGCCACACTATTGATGGCGCTTGGGGAAATGGAGGCTTCAGAACTCAGGTGTCCGACTGAAGAAATCGCAACTTCAAAAGAGAGCGCAACTTGGAAAAATAATTCTCCACAGGCGCTGACCGCCATATTGCCCAGCAGCGGCCCTTATGGGCAGAATCTGGGTTCCTGGCGGTTCGTCATGTGACGGGCGGCTGTTGGTGGCCGTTGGTGGCTCTCAGGTGGTTTGGAGTTTTGGAGTGTTCTCTGCCGAGTGTTTGCTGCTGAGGCGCTGTGGCACTGCCAGGCGACCTGATTCGGAAGGTAGACTTTGGAAGCCTATTGTTTCAGCCGCATCGTGAGAAGACCCGGTAAGAGGAGAGACGTCTGTAGCGTTACGTGTTGTTTTGGTAGGGCCAGTGGCTACAGTCCGTGAGGGTTGAGGAAGCGGGTGTATTGGTTGGTAGGACGTTTGTTTAGTCAATAATCCGGGACTATCCAGGAGTACTGAAATCAGTGATATGTGCAGGTTTTCATCGCGCGAATCTATGGTTCAGTGATGGAGGGAACGTGGCATCAGCGACGGCATGGTGAATCCATGGGCTCAAATTTCAGGGTCTGAAGAATAAGGGATGGACGTTTGCGAGGTCGCTGATGGGGAAGTCTGTGAGAGCTGGTAACCGACGCCATCTGTATGGTGGCTGATAGGACTTAGCGTTTGTGATGGGGAGTCTTGAGGTCTATTATGGGAGAGTGTGGGCATTACTAATGTGGAGGTCTGGGGACCTCATAGAGGTTGAGGATGAGGTATTAGGGGGCAGTGACGGAGTTGTTGAGGGATATTAGGAGCTTGGAGGGGGTCACTGATGGGTACTGGAGTCAGCATTTAGAACTATTACTGGGGCAGGGGATGGAATGGGATTGGTGGTAGCATATTCTCATGACTGGGGAGACCTAAGTATCGGTGTCTGACAGGTGAGCTCATGGAAGTCTGTGCTTTGGGAAGCCTGTGGGGTTCGTGATTGCGGAGGGACTTGTGATTGGGAAGGGACTCCCTGGAGATACTTGGTTTGAGTTTCCAACTTGTATAACCGGAAGGAGCTTCCTGTTGTGACATTCTCCCCCCAGTTCTTCAGCAGTTCACCAGCTGTTCCCGTCAAGCCCCTCCTCACACCTACACTTCTGTTCACGTCTTCCTTTGCCTTGATCACATCCCTACAAAAATTTAAAGCATTTTTAAATGATCAGAGCCTGAGGAAATCTAAAGTGATATTTGCTTGTATATTCATACACTGTCACTGTAAGGATTCACAAAAGTAGGAACAGAGGAACTGGGTGGCTGAAGGACCTCAGGTGAAGATGATGCTCTTTGTACCTTGTGAATGTTGAACCATGTGGACTATTTCTTTCTTTTTTTAAAAAATATTTTTAACTGGTATGCTTATGAGATTTTATCTATTACATAAAAGCTGTATGTTGCTTGATGAGGATAAGACGTATGTAAAACATTAAATTATCCCCTTTCAGAACATGTTTTTAGTTTCCCTGTAGGCCAGTGATCTCTTGGATGTGATCCTTCTCTTGTTTCTACCTGGTAATCATAGAAGTAATAACATTGATTCTGATTGTATTCACGCTTCTTCACCATAATTTTTCACATTTAAATATTTATTGTCATTTTACAAATAGGCAGAAATTGCTAATTCTGTTCTTACTTCACATAGAAGGCATTTAGGATAATTTAAAATTTTGTTTTGTTTGGAACTTTTTGATTGCTGTCTTTCTCATTATTCCTAATTCTGTCTTGAAAAATTTGTCACACTTTCCATTGTGATACCCTGTATGATTTTGTCTTTTAAGGCAAATGTAAATAATTGAAAAGAATGTATTATTTTCAATATGTGCATCTTTTATCTACTTTGATATGTTGCTGAAGTCTGTATTAGTTTTAATATTTAGACCATGTGTACAGTATTTTCTTACATTGTCACAAAATTACAGTGGTATTTTTATATTGTCTATCTCAGTGGTGTTCCTGTCAAACATCCTTGTATTTTTTAACAGTGTTTGTTTTATGTGATTTGGTTCCCTACGACTTGCTGCATAAAGCAACCACATTGTAACTTCTAACTCATGTTATTCTATGAATTTCTACTTTATCCAATTGAATGGATCTCATCTTAAATTCTTTTACTGGTTCCTGTTACTATTAATCCTCCTGATTTCCAATTATCTACATTTGCCTGGGCCTAATATACTTTGTTTATTACAGGTTATTTTCCCTGGACAGTTTTAAGGATGTGAGTGTCTCTGAGAACCAGTCAGTTACTGGATTTTATTTTCTTTTTGTTTATTCCAGTCAGCAGTGTCTTTTAATTGACAGTTTTACTGTTTGCATTTGCTGCCCCAACCCTGTACTGTGTGTGTCTCACTTCTGTTTTACTCCTTTTTAAAATTCTGTTTCCTTGTAGTTTATTTTCCTTTATAGCTCCTATTACCTAGATCATACATTTTTAGCTTTTAATTTATGCAGCGGTTTAAAAGGCACACCTTGTTTTTATATATCTACTGAAAGTTCCCTTAAAGTGTTCCAGAAATATTCTTGAATTTATGTTGTTCTAATTAGCAAAGTGGTTGACAAAAATATAGGTCTGTTTTATGTGTATTCTTTCTACTTTCTGTTCTAGCTACCTCAGCTTTAAAATTTTTTTTACTTTAATTTTGGTTGCACTGGGTCTTTGTTGCTGCATGTGCACTTTCTCTAGTTGGGGTAATCAGGCACTGCTCTTCATTGTGGGGTGTGGGCTTCTCATTACAGTGCCTACTCTTGTTGCAGGGCACGGGCTCTAGGTGTACAGGCTTCAGTAGTTGTGGTGCATGAGCTTTGTTGCCCCGGGGCATGTGGAATCTTCCTGGACCAGGGATTAAAGCCATGTCCCCTGCACTGGCAGGTGATTCTCAACCATTGGACCACCAGGAAAGCCTTAAAGTTCTTAATTTAAGGGTTAATCATAGTTACCTATTCAAAGTCTTGCACAAAAGCAAATGTGGAGGTCTTTATTGACCACCTGATGGTCTTAAATTGAGTACTATTGGCTTGCATGACAGTAACAGGAATAGTAGAGTCTCCATTTTAAACTATCTGATCCTGGTAGTTTTATTTGCAAGAGATGCTTTTAGAGCCTTCTCTCTTCTGTGGATATTAGTCTGCTTCTGCTTACTATTACCAGTGAGAATCAATATTAGTAAAGTTTATTTTCCTAACAGTTTACATATTCATTGATATTGAGTTGTACAAATGTGTGCCGTGATAGCTAATGTAGATCATTGGCATTATGTTCTTGTTACCTGTATCTATTTTTAGGTTCTTCTCAAATACTTAGACAAATTCCAGTTCATTGCCCATAAGGGAACTGATGGTGCAGCTCACCGTGTAAAATTAGGAAAGAACTCTTTTGGGTACAATTTCTCAGTGAGGCGGAACCTCCTCACCATGATACATACTTGCAGACAGTCGGTTGCATGTTAGTCCTAAGTTCTTCCTGCTCCCTGAATGTGAGCCCTGTCTACCTCCAGGGATCATGAAAAGTGAGCCTTTGCCATGAACATTCTAACAGTCTGTAAAGACATATTAACTACAAAGTGATAATTGTCCTTGATAATTAGCAACTGGCAAAATATTTTCACAAATAATCCCAGTTCCCAAGCCTGTTCCTGCTAGAGCTGTTATAGGTGACATGATAATTGCAGTTCTGAGGGGAGGTGAGGTCACAGGATCACAAACTCATATCTCAGGGTCAAGCTACCCCTCTTGCACACAGGCAAATTGCTTTGACCTTCATACTGAATCCATTATCCAGGCATCAGGAAAAAGTCAGTGAGTTTTCTCTATATTCATCAAGGAGGTAGAATCTCTAAAGGAAGGCTCTGTATCAGGAATCTGGTAAGGGAACTTATTGGACAAAGAGAATCTCCTGTGTATAAACCTGGTCCAGCAGCAAAGCCCTGCAGGAGGGTGGGATAAATCCTGAGTCTGAACTGAGATAGAAAAGGGAAATGGTGTCCTAGACCTTTCACCAGTCTGTAATAGCTCCTAATGTAGTGTATGTACTTTTCTCACTGACAGAAATTGTTGTTGTTTAATACTATTGTGATATTTTACAAAACTAAGGACTGTATTTCCCCAATTAATATGATGTTCAGTCTACTTTTCAGGAATCCTATGCATACATTTCAGGTTTCACAGGTTAGCACATACCTAGTTCATCCTTGTAACAAAGACTATGAAGATAGGAATCATCTGACCCTGTGGAGTAACAGTGTGTCTGGCAGCCACTGCTGGAGTAGAAATGTCTCCTCTAACTCTGGATGTTGTATGAATTGCTGAGAAGATTAAATTATTGTGTCTCTGTTGATTGCAGAGAGACTCTTTTCACTTAAACTAAGGAATCAGCATGGAAGAAAAATAGAACTTTATGCAATTCAGATACCATATTTCTGTTTCTTTTCAATATTATGATGCCCATTCAAAAAATGTATGTTCTTTATACCATACACAAGTTGCTCACCTTAGCATTGATTTTGCATATATTTTGTATTTTCATATCTTTCACAAATCTTGCCTTACTGATAATACTTGTATTTGTTGTTGTTTCATCACTAGATCATGTCCAAGTCTTTTGCAACTCCATTGAGTGTAGCCCGCAAGGTTCCTTCTTTTCATGGGATTTCCCAGACAAGAATACCGGGGTGGCTTGGCATTTCCTTTTCCAGGGGATCTTCCCCACTCAGGGATCGAAATCATGTCTCCTGTTTTGGGAGGCATGTTCTTTACCAGCTGATAATGCAGCTGGTAAAGAATCTGCCTGCAATGCAGGAGACCCTGATTTGATTTATGGGTTGGGAAGATCTCCTAGAGAAGGGATAGGCTACCCACTCCAGTATTCTTGGGCTTCCCTGGTGGCTCAGATGGTAAAGAATCTACCTGCAATGTAGGATACCTGGGGTTGATCCCTGGGTTGGGATGACCTCCTGGAGGTAACACTGCAGATATTATTAAATAAATATACATACCATATGAAATTAATATTAATAATAATTTTGTTTCTTTAGTGAACTATTAACCAGGTATCATTGTTTGCTATTCCATGTAACTATGACCTGTGCCGTTTTGCTTTTTCCTGGACTGAGAGTAAATGAGTCTTTTTTTGCTGCCCTAATATTGAGTCATTCTTATATTCATTAAATCCAACTTGAACACAGGCCAGTTGCCAGCAGTATTATACTCCTGGTGGTGGAACTGCATTTTACGAATATCTGTAAAGCTTTATTCAAAATTTATACTTGACCCTAGAATGTCTTCTTCTTTTTT